TACATATCCGCCATAGCAAAATAATATAAAACACTGCTATAACTAWTTAATAATGTCTGCGCATTAATTGTATTACATTAGCAAATATCGTTTGCTGTAGGTCGATGAAAAAGCAGCGTTACTTTGTCTAGACGATATTCAAAAATGTGCAAAATGTGGGATCTGTGTATTGTTGAAATATATTTTGTTTAGCTGAAGCTTTAATAGCTATACTTTAGGTTAAAKGAGTTAAGGTTAGTTTTGGTTCTTTGCGTTACCAGATGGAGTTCAGTTGATAGGTCCTAGAGAAGTAGTCATCCTTTAGAATTCCTGCGCTTGACACTAATTTTAACACACTCTGCGGCCTCACTATCGATTTTTTTTTTTTTTTCGTTTTTTGGTTTCCTGCTCGATCTGTATTGCTTTCGCAATAGCAAAGACCGCAGCTTGAAATTTACTGCATTGGTCCGCTAGTTTAAAAGTTTCCCTCATGCTTACTCTGAAGAGTATATTCCCGCAACAACTCCATTGTACATTTTCGGGCCATTTATATGGATGTTTAGAGTGTTGCGCGTTGCCAACATACTTTTACGCTAACCATCTTTTTCTTTGAACCTTCTTTCTCAGTTGAAAAGTGGTTTCATTCAACTGCCATTATCCAYCGAGCTATGCTTGAAAATTAAGCATACAAATAGGGCTTTAATTTAACTGCTACTTATGTAAAGCCTGATTATTTTGAAGTTGCTGCCAACTAGCTCGAGCTTTCTCAATGACGGTGTGATAAGTGACGCGTGACGCGAGACGCGAGACACCTTCAATAGTTCCAAATAATTGCGATCTCTAAGACACTGGTTTGTTGTCAAAAACCTGCTCACTAAAGTATACGCAGAGCAAAAGTCAATCGGCTAKACATGTATGTATATAGTAAGTCTWGCATGCGAGATCGGTAATTCATGTCACCAGCTTGAAGCTTGGCTTGTTCGTCAAACACTGCGTCAACTGCATTCCATTAAAGTAGTGGGGTGTGTGAATTTCCCTTAACTCGTTGAAATCAGATGCAATAATAAAATCTTCTTCCTCGAACTTCATAAAAGTAGAGACCAGTAATGACCAGCGTAACGAGCTGAGTTGATTTAGCCAAGGTCCCTAGGTCTATCTGTATATAGTATATGCGAACTAGTTCCTTCGTTTCTAAGCTATGGTTCTGAAATTTTGCACACATCCTTTTCTTCTCTAGAAGCTGCTCATTTGTTGAAACCGCCGATATCGKGCAAGTATAGCATATAGCTGCCATAMAAATTAAAMSGTCGGARWCAAGTTCTTGTATGGCCAACTTGGAAAAATTTTTTATTTGTCATAACATCTTAACGAAATTTAGCATAGACTATTAAGTAAAACAACGCTACAATCCTCGAAGAATTTTTTTCAGATCAGTCTACTATAGCATATATCTGCCATACAAAGTAAAGGAACAAAATCAAGTTATTGTATGGAAAACTTTTTTACTTGACAAGATATCTTCACAAAATTTGACGTAGGTTATTATCATAACTAACACTACAACCTCCAAAGATATAATTCAGATCGGTTTACTGTAGCATATCGCTGCCATACAAACTTATCGCTCAATTCAAGTTCTTACATACATTTTTTTTTTAACTGTGAATGGTATAAGTGTGAAGGTAACTGAAATTAATGGTTTTTTATTGTCTAAAACTGAGAAAAAACAAAATCAGCAAACTAACTGTTAACAGCAAACCTTTATATGGATAGGTACATACTACACATTAACGTTCACGAATGAAAAAAATAAAGAAATTCCAATTAGAATTGCGCAGACCTGCACTACGGTGACTAATGTAAATCAGACAATTCCCTACTAGTAATTGAAAAATATTAACTATAAAGCGGTATGCAAAATTAAAATCGGAAAACAGAAGTAGCAACAAAAAGAAGATACAAAAGCAACAAATTTGACAGAAGCAGTGTTGCAAAGAGTCTCTAAGCACTTAAATCATAATGGAGACATGCAATTGAACAGTTCAATAAAAAACAAAAATAAATATAAAAACTGAAGAAYATAAATATATCTATTTGTATATTTTCTATTGTGAAATAAAGCTCACAAACGATTTTATGTGTATGTATGTATGTACTTTTGTATAAATTTCATATTTGAAGTCTTCCTCCTGCATTCACACACACACACAAGTCAAGTACTAMGCACATGCAACATCAATGAATACATACATACACACCTACCAACTAACTAACTAAAAATATATAATATAAATGAATAATTATGTAAAGTATATACATAAGTCACTTAAGTGAACCACATGTTGCACCGTTGTTTTCATCTCACGCGAAGTTCTCACACTACACAAATCTTTGACACAAATCACAGACCGGCACAAGGCAAAAGAATTCTGCAGAAACTCTCATGTTTGCTGTTCACCAATAAATAAATGAAAATAATTTAAGCAAAAACAAAATCACATACATAATGGGGATATTTGTAATATTAACATACATACCTTATGCACATGCATTATGTATGTGCAAGCATGCATTTGGTTGTGTGTATGTACATACGATAGTGCATGGGAGCCAAAAGAGTACCGAAATAATGTAAAAGACAAGTGAACCAAGTGAAGCAGAATTCTAATAAACAATGTTTATAWTATGTGCATACAAAATAAATAATAATAAATAAAGAGAATTTGTTGTAAAAACAGTTACACGTTGGTATTAATAGTGAAGTTATTAACCGATGGGCTAGAAACGTTCATAGAAAAAACGTATAAAAAACGAAATGATCAAAATGTATGTGTGTAACGCTAAATTAAAATAAGAAAATACTGAATAAAAMTGAAAATTACTCATATTATTATTTAGAATTTAAGCTGTGTTTTTTTGAGGCTGGCTGGGTCCGAAATTCGACACTAAACAGACAAGTTTAACCTACGATGAAGCTTTGCTGCAGGCCATTCGTGTTGCTGAACATTTTCGCCAGCTGGGCTTGACGCAACGTGACATTGTTGGTGTGGTTGTGCGAATTACCATCCACTTGATGGTCGTAGCACTGGCAGTATCTTCAATAGCATCGCGCTGGACTTGGTTAATACCAAACTAGAGGCTAGTAAGTGTCGAAACGGAAGTTTATGGAAACCATATACTACACACATATATACTTTAAGAGTTTATGAAAAGTCTTTTCGAAACCACAAAGTCAAGTATAAATATAWTTTTCGATGGACAGGACTATGCAAAAGTCGACAAATGAGTTGGAAACGACCTTATACACCTTAGGTAATGCGTTCCCGAAGGTAACGTCTGTGTATGATCTACTACAATCTACTGKCTTGRAACATATTAKAAATTAACATGMGCTTCTTGTAYTGTACCGAATTGATTCGACTCATTYACTTTACTTTAGTCGAAGCGTATACAAATTTCAATTAAAACATAGTACAAGTGGAGCTCGGTGTTTCACCAACGAACTTTGAAAACATATACATATATACAGCTGGCAATCTTGTAGTACATCTGATGATCGATGACACCCTCAGCAACAAATTACTTCTTGCACAAGYTAGACTATCCAACGTATTCTAGCTTTCTCACAGAGATTTGTTAAAACCGAGTGTGATAGAACGGATGCGGTTACTATTACATAATCTTACGGAGAGATGGAATTACGATGGTGGACTAACCATTGTGGCAAAAATATGAACTTTTGTAATGGAGCCCTCCTGTACGATCTTGGCTGTGAWATTTAATGCTCTCAACGTTTTTACTCGATAAGTTACCACACTCTTAGTGGTGACCACACTATTTTCTACATAACCTTTAAATACTCACTCTAGTTATCATTCATTTTCACACTGTTTGAAATAGAGTAAGAAAAACTTGTGCGTATTAACTGGTTATATGGATTTACGGGTTTCAAAAAATTTTTATTAAACTCTATAATAAATCTAAAATTTTGTCTGAAATTTTCAAGTTGATCGGAGCAATAGTTTCGGAGATAGAACCTTGAGAACTTGTGCGCTCGTGGCTACCTGCGCCGTCTTTAAACTCGTTTTTCTCAAAACTKTGTTTTTGAAGTCGGTTGGCATGATTTATCGAGAACGTCTCAACCGATCTTTACACATGCCTTTGAGATACAATTTTTAAAGACTTGAACAAAGGACTTTTTTCGATTGTAACTATTTGAAAAAAAAAAAAAAATTCGCGAAATTTTTACTGCAATTTCATTTTTTATAAAAATGTTCAGCAAAAATCCAGTTTTCAGCTTACTTTCTTCGTCCAAGTTCTAAGTTGGCCCTCCATATTTTAATGTCTTGTAGCAAATTTTGTATGCCAATTCCTGAMGTAATCATACCACCTTATTTTTCTCGTTTAAAGTAATTCTTTGGGTCCAGTTCCATTTATCAGAGTGCCAAGGCGTACGTACCTCAATGTTTATTCAGTTTTATTCCAGTTATCGCTTGCATGGACAGACTGACGAAGAGTTAATCATCCGGAATTCGATTTGTCTCGTAATTCTGATCATTTATATAACAAAAAACCATGAGGTACACAGTGATTATTGAACAAYTCCCAACAAATTGAAAGGTATGATTTCTAAGCAGCAATTACACATGATATTGAAGAATTATTCAACACCGAAAGAACCAAACCACTGATTGAAAACATAACAATTCTTATACTTCTAGTCCTGCTACATTAGAGGATGGAATCAAATTTTCGCTATTTTATGGTATAATCATCGGGTACAACAGGAGTTCCCGAAGCGAGAACCATCTCCAAGCATCAAGTAGGTGAAAGAGCAGGTCGAGGAAGGATACGAGTGTTTATATGGTGGTGCCGTCATTGCGATACAGCTGCCAAAGTTGGTGAACTCCAAGCTAAATCACAAATCCTTAAGGATATGTTCATTTTATCCCAAAAAAGACAAGTGTTATAGAAGGCGCCGAATGTATCCGCAAATTAGTATAATTTAAACAAAAGGACTGTTAGTTGTGATTTTAATTTGCATATATTTATCTAAAAGATATTGTATTACCTCCTCGTTTTAGACACATAATTAAATAAGTATGAGYTARCTCGAACACAACTAAACTKTGAACGTTAAAGGCGTCARTTCGAAGTCCTCAGTGATGGTTTGATCGAGTAGTGTGTCATCGCAGATCTGTACCAATTGATCACTATCCAAATTCAGCAACTGGCTTATGGARGAAGCCTCTCCACGCGTGTCGGAATTACTGTTATTCTTTACATCGKCCTCGCCCACCAACGGTTTATCGTTACTACGAGTACTCGTAGCGACCTTATAWTGTCGTTGGAATTGTTGTGTTGGTTGCTGTTGTTGAGGCGGTAAAAATGAATTTGGTTGTTGAGGCGGAGCAGGCGGCGGAAACGACTGCAGCGGCTGTTGCTGTATATTGCTTTGAACGAAATTATACTGGCCATTCTGTGACATGGAAGCAGCGGCATTAAGAAATTGTCGCACGTTGAGCGGACTATTGCTCAGTGCTGCGGCGGCAAAAGCCAAAATGCTGGCGAATTTCTCTTCCCAGCTTATGTTTTCAGGAGCACCAAGAAATGGTTGTTGCAATTGCTGTATCAATCGCCATTGTTGTTGCTGCAGCTGCGTTTGCGGTTGCTGAGGAACCTCTTGTTGCTGGTACGGCATCTGAAGTGGCTGAGGGTGGAGTAGTTGTTGTAGCGGAAAAATTGGTTGTTGCAGCTGTAGCGKTGGTGGATGTTGTCGTTCTTGCTTAATTTGCAACTGCAGCGACATAGATTGATGTCGTTGTAATTGTGGTTGTTGTTCTTGCTGTGGCAATTGATGTGCTTGTGATTGTTGTTGCTGTATTTGTGTCTGTTTCGGTTGCTGCAACAGCTCATCCAAATGAGGATGTTGTTGCTGGTCGTGCATATTTTGAAGTTTTGATAATTGCGACTTTTGGTTACCCGCATAAATTTTACTCTCCTCATGAATTTCCAGTGTCGTTGGAATTGTCTCAACATTGAGAGTTTCTTGAACGTCCACCGCACCAGCTTCCAGGTTAATCACCTCCGTGAYCTTGCCGTAAGGCGAAGTAGTTGTCGACATATCACTTTTGCTGGTTGATGAGGACGGTGACAATGGTTCTGGCGATGGTGTCATCTCACCAGATATGAAAAACTTGTCCAAATTTGCTTGTGTGTCAACAAGACAAATGTTATTTTGTAATGGTTTATTGGTAACCGTCTGGTGCTCACTAACTTTAAGCGAGGCCATAGTAAGATCGGTCAGTCTACATTTACGTCTTAACCGCGACTTTTTGACTGGTTCATATTTGAATTCGCAAGGCTCACTGACGGCACCATCGGAAGGTCTTTGTAGTTGCACGAATACCATTACCGGCTGTTCAATATCGGTTTTGTGATATTGTGGAGTTCTCAATCTAATTGCGGTTTGTTTGTGCACACTGGAGGGTTCAAACTCGCCATAAGCTTGCCAAACCACAGCACCATTTTTCTCCTCGAAAAAACGCACCGCTATATCTTCCTTCGCCACCTTCTCGCASAGCAACATGATTGTCGTGTTGCCCAGCACCGTTCCCGAACTGCACATCTCACGAATAACGAGGTCTGACTTTGACTTCTTGTCATAGATGGGATCGGTGACGACGGGCTTCAGTGGCACCGTGAAATGACCACTTTCGCCTTGGATAAAAACTTGGAAACACAAGCGCACCGAATTGATATCTATAGTACCCGGTTGCGTTGCGTGTGAAAACCCAGTTTTAAACGGATCAACGCGTATTTCTTCACGCATCTTCAGTGAGGCTTCAATGTCTTTTTTCTTAACACACTGTATACCCAGGTTATGGAGCTCGGCACGCATAGTAACCTCGTTTATACTAAACGTGTACACACCACTTTTGCAACCCTCCTTACCCACCAAGGTATGAGGATGTGGTCTGTATGGCGGATCCGCGGACACACAAGAAACGACACACACCGAGCGACCTTTGTAGCCAACAATTTCGATTGTAGGATATGTTCGCAATGCCGACGTGGAATTTACACCTGGTATAGAACCGGCCGAACGCCCTTCGCACTCATAGCGGAATCTCACAGCTTTACTTGCCGGTTGCTCCACAATTTTKACATAAGCGTTGGCATATTTTCGGTTTGGCTCAGCTAGCTGTTTTTTAATCGCTACTGGTGCTTGCCTCTGCATCGGTTTTCGTGTTCGCTTTGGCTTTTGTTTTGCYTTTGATTTTTCGTTGTCGTCGTTGAGCGGATTCATATGTATATCTGAATAAATTGTTCTTCTTACTTTATCCACTTACGTTTAGAGAATAAAATTGTGTAGAAATTGTTTTTCTAGAAACACCGCGTTTTCACACATCTAACTATATCGACATTATACTTGATTTTATTTAACAACTTGTGACTGCGCTCTTTACCATATACAAATGATATATGCGAGTGTTTAGGGGGATTTAGCGCTATTTGGCGCGATTAACGGAAGGATGCCATACTGGCTCAAGTTATCAATCATCAATCTCAAAATACAATGTTGTTCCACCTTAATCTGTATTCTTGGGAAGACACACAATTGTAGTATGATATATTAATGAGGTTAACAGGTAAATAACCTGTGTTTCAAATACTCGATGGAGGGGTGTTCSGTTGTTGCTTTGAAAACATGCACACTTTCCTGCGTTTCGTTGTAAATCTTACACTCATGTTTTCTAAATTGGAATGCACTGAGTGTGGTTCTAAGAATAATAAATCAGTTTATTCTTTAAAAGGTTATATACAATTTGAGGGGAAAAAAGTGAATTTTCCAGAATTTTTTTCTGAGAAAACCTTTAAATTTATTGATGCAAAAATTTCTACACATATTATGGTATCCTTTAACTGTATTTTAAGACTTAGTATTTGTAAAAATATTTATTTGGAAAAGAACTACAGCTGATCTCCGGGAGCTCCTCTCAGAAAAGACGTTTTGCGCTGACCATTATAATTATCTCTGAACTGGATTCTCTGAAATTAAAGAATCACACAGATTCCGTTATAGTAATGTTAAATTTAGTAATTAATTGGAGGAATAAACAAAATAAAACCTTTTGTCAAAACGACGGATTTTCAAACAAAAAAAGAAAACAAACATTGATTTTTCACTAAAATTTCTGTCTTAAATTGTTTATAAAAAATATTTATGGATGAGAAAAAATCTTCAATTAATTACTAAATATATAGTATATATAAGAAGAATTTTTKATTTTGAGAAAAAAGCGTTTAAARTTTGCCCTCCAAGCACTCCGAAAGSCSYTWTCAAATTTGCGTGTAACTTCGAAAATATTCACAGGAATGATATGAATTTTCTGTATGYATTCTTAATTAAATTTTTAGATTAAGAAAATAAAATAAAAAAAATCGATTTTTACAAAATTCTAACATTTACCATTAATTCATTTCAATATTTTTTGACTTAAGTCAACACTATGCCGCTAATTTTTGATTTACTCGACCATTCCTTATAGTATGTGGAATATCTTCAGATAGAGAAATATTTTAAGTTTCAGTCACAGAGATGGACGGAATCACTGCTGCTGAGAAGGACCGTCGGAAATCACTTGTAACACGAAAAATTTGCAATTTTGTAATTTCTTCAAAAGATCATAACATTTATTTTAAATATTGTACGACAATGTGATGATAATATTTTGAATTATCACACTGTCCTTTCAAAGCAGCGATTAGTATTCACTCGTCGATTATAATCGATAACTTTGTAWAATTGAAGAAAAAATTCCAGTTAAGTTACAAACCTTGCAAAATTTTTAGCATTGACATGCACCTTTAGAAGATTTATGTTTTAAGGCTTTTGAGGCAGCCTGTGGCTGAATGTACACAAATTTTCTTTACATTTCAAATTGCTTGCTTACCTTTCGGCTGCTTTTAAAACTACCTGAGAAATATGTAAGATGCATATCGATATATATATCGATAAATTGTGAAACTATCGCTCGCGAAGTCATGAAAGAAAGTGGCATAAGTGTTAACACTAGTACAATCTGTAGGCACAAGATGGACTTCATGTCTTGATATGTTGAAAAGATTCATTATCAGCTATTGTGGCTAAGATTTGGCAAACAAGCGTATCGCACCTGACAAGACTACTTTTTCAGAGTTAAGCATGATACGAGGTCTCATAATATTGCCATATCCTCTTAGCGAACTAAACTTACTACATAAATGACTTGAGCAAGTAATACCTTTCACCACATTATCATAAGAAATACGCTTAGACTACAGACGGCGAGGTTAACTTTCACCTGAACTCAGCACTACTACTACAATTCTCTCAAACTCAAAAGATTTTCCACAATCGTTGTTGTCTGGATATGAAAAAAGTATGATAAAAAATGATGGTATGCCTAGCAAACTGAAGCAATATCTAGACCTATCTCTATAAACCAAGAGAAGGGAATCCAGCAAACTTCAGAAAGAGCGGTAAGACTTGCAGCACCCACCAACAGCAGTCGGCTTACAGCCGTGTAGGAAAGGAATTATCCACCATGATGATACCCACTTCTACTTCTGATCGAACGATTGATCATTTTACTGTCAACAACTGATAAGATTGAAGTAAGCAATCGAAAATAGTGGCCAGAACTGACCAACAGAAATGGCTTCGTCTTCCATCATAACAAGGCTAGACCACACACATCTTTGATGACTCGACAAAAACTGTGGGAGCTTGGCTGGGAAGTTTTGATGCATCCACCATATAGCCCTGCCCTTGCACCATCGGACTACCATATGTTTCGGTCAATGCAGACTTCTCTTAATGGAGTAAAGTTGGCTTTAAGAGAAGCCTGTGAAAATTACTCGCAGTTTTTCGCCGAGAATCCAGAAAAGTTTTACACTGATGGCATAATGTCTCTAGCGGAAAAATAGCAAAAAGTRGTCGACCAAACTTGTATATAATTGGTTTATTAAAGTTCATTATACATATAAAAAAATAAGTTGAAGTTTGACTAGAAATACGAAAAGACTTTTTCGACTACCCAATATTTGAAGAGAGTATTGTCATTGCAAATAAATRAAATGTAGTTAGTATATATAAGTTGTCAGTGACGCCATGTTGAACAATAACAAGTTTACTAAAGATAGAGAGAAAAGAATTACAAGCATACATATGTATATGCTATATATATATGTACCTCTGTACTTAAGTATATCCGTTAATTGCTTAATTAGATTTGGCATACACGCATTTATTTTCCACAGATGTAAAGATCAGCTTCGTTACAGGCATTACTTACTTGTATAATACTTATAGTATATACTATTGCTAACCTATAAATATCGGTTGATTTATTTCGTCAAAAGCTTCTACTCGATAAACCAGTCAGTCATTTGAGTAACGCACACTTAAATATGTTCAAGGGAGGTTAGTAAGAGCTCACGCAATCAGCGTGACTTAAAATGCTGCTACCCCCTCCCTCCATACCTGTATATCAAGAATGTAAAATAATGCTCAAGTTCTCAAATTTTATTTCGAGTTATGTGCATATCTCTTTTTAAGACAATGCGTGTTTTKTTATCAATTCAATGATCTATGGAGACACCCCTTACTCCCGGAAATATTCAAACATAMATACACACAGGTTTAATTAGTAGAAATTATATCAATCCGTAAATTACTAACATTCATTTTATGACACGCAAATATTTATTATATATATACCCGCCAACTTGGTGCATCCGCATTGAGTTGCAACAGTTGAGCATCGAGATTGGCTAAGATTAAACGCTTCCACAAAATAGGAAGTCAATATAYATCGGTGTTACTTTGTGATTTTATGTTTGAACCGAGAACTAGAAATGTTCGAAATAGATGCAAGCTTAGGTGCAACATACGACGCCGAGTCTAAGGAATGGATGGGTCCGAAATTCGTTGACTTTTACGATCGCAACGCATCTGTGGGACGCATACTCTTCGAGCAAATGCCCACACAGCATCTGTCAGGTAAGTGTTTAAAAGTTTAAGAGAGCGGCTATGCCAAATTTTTGTTAAACACTTATAACCCCCGCAAGATTTCCGACACTGAACAGACAAGTTTAACCTACGAAGAAGCTTTGCTGCAGGCCATTCGTRTTGCTGAACATTTTCGCAAGCTGGGCTTGACGCAACGTGACATTGTTGGTGTGGTTGCGCGTAATAGCACCCACTTGATGGCCGTAGCCCTGGCWTGCTTTTTCAATGGCATCGCGCTGCACGCGGTTAATCCCAATCTAGAGGAAAGTAATTGTTGAAACGGAAGTTCTTAGAATGTTTCATACTATATACATATATATACATTTTTTAGAGTCTGTGAAAAGTCTTTTCGAAACCACCAAGCCAAAGTATATATTTTTCGATGGACAGGATTATGCGAAGGTCGAGCGGGCAACAAATKATTTGAAGACGAACTTATACACCTTAAGTAATCATTTGCCAATGAAACCGTCTGTGAAGGATCTACTGAAACCGACTGGTTCGGAACATACATTTACGTGGGTAACTCGTATTTTATCCAACAGATTCGGCGTATTCATTTCACTTTAGTTGAGCCCATATAAATTTAAAATAAAATATAGTAAGCTGGCAATTTCGTAGCACACTCATATAGTATACGAGTATGTAGTTGTGACATGTATTGCAAATATTGACCACTTGACTTCGGTTGGTTATTCTCTTTGCATGGTTTAATAAGCCCAAGAAACTTTTTGCGGCCAAAATTTAGACCGTCTACAGGCGCTAGTAACTGTTTTAACCTGTTGTAAGGTTTTTGGTTATGGGACAGTTTAGTGTGATGTGGGCTGTATTCAGAGGACTACCCGGTTATTGGTAGAACCCTCTTTGGGGCAAGAGCTGTAGCAGAGAATTTTAGCTTTCTCATTAAGAATGCGAAGACGTGACTTGTTGCTAATGCGTACTTTTACGGAGAGGTGGGATTGCTTTAATGGACCGATCTTTGTAATAATTGAAACAAAAATTCGGACTTTGATTTGATGAAATCATTYCAAATTTAGCAATGATACAAGGAAATTTCCTTGACTCGACTGTTTACTCGCTATTTTCAAGATGTTTTTCAACTTAAAAAACAATTGACTTTAATCTTGTCCAGTCCTTCAATAAAATTTATTCATGATACTAACGAAGTGTTCAACTGCCCAAGAACCAAACCACAGCCTGAAATCATAATAATTGTTTTACCTCTAGACCTGCTATTTTGGAGAATGGACCGAATCAAACTTTAGCTATTTTATGCTCATCCGGCACTACAGGAGTTCCCAAAGCGGTGACCATCTCCAATCATAAGCGGTTTTTCGATATGTTACAGTGAGCTATATTAACCATTCTTTGAATTTCCAGTTTATTTCCTATATTAGTCAAAGTTTCTTTTAGCTTTTTGAACTCGGAAGA